TCACCAAAGACAAAAGGATGTAGTCATTCTGCTGTCCCTGGTACTTGTCCACAGTACTGATCTTGTGTGGACGACCAAACAAAGGGTTTTGTGCACATCTCTGTTCCACCACATCACGCAGGAGTTCCTTCTGCCCATTATATGTGGTCAATAGAGATATCTTGGATGCAGGATAACCCAACAACCTCATATACATGTATAAATGTACCACATATTCTGCCTCTGCTAGATTTTGATAGAAATATTTTCGTGGTTCTGATTCTCCACGACCTTCAAGGTCTTCTACATTAATCAGCTGATACTCATACCACATGCCAGCATTAGCTGTACGGAATTCTGGCCAGGAGGTAACATGAGGCAAATCTCCCAAGTTTTTGTATCGCCAGTTATACAATGCACAAATGGAAGGACGAGCTCGACCCTGGGCATCTAGCTGAACAGTTGGGACGCCAAGCCTCACAAAACGAGTGAACAAGCTCTGTTCACAATTGCTGTACTTTTGAAAGGCCATGTTCTTGATTACTGGGGGAAGCTGGTGGTGATCTCCAATCATCACCCAACGCTTCAGACGATTTCGACCATCTTCTGGATTTTGTAGTAATAAAGGAATGAAGGTTTCAATCTCAAGAATCTGTGCACTTTCTTCCATCAGAATATTGTCAAATTGGAATCCTAAGTCCACCAGCTCACGGCGCTTTAGAGCAGCATGTGTACAGGTCATAGCAATGATCTTTGCCTCCTTAACTAACAGGTATCTAGTACGATCTAATCCACTTCTCAGCATCTCAAAAGCTCTAAATTCTTTCAACTGGGTGAAAATGTTTTCCAAATACCTAAAGCACCCCTCAGCAATTTCCATGTCTTCTTCATAACTTTTCTGTTTGAACAGTGGCTGTGGTGCATTGCTAAAGAAGACATGGAAAGGAAACATTTCACTGACTTGAAGGATATTGACAGCCTTTCCAGGGGTGGCTGTGACCTGGCTTAGGTAGCGTTCCCAGCGTGCTAACACATGCTGCAGGAAGAAGTATCCTGCAGTCTCACAGGATGCCCCCATCTCCCCAGCCACTCCCAGGGACTCCTTAAGACGAGTGACTTCATCAAGTAACTCCAATCTTTTACTCAAGACATAGTTTACACGCCCATACCTACTGAAGTCCTTTTCAGTCTCGAGGGCCTCTTCTCCATGACCAAGACGCAGCAGATGCCTCTCATCAACATCTAGGGCAATAATCTTCTCGAAGAGTTGGTTAAGAGCCTGGTTAGAATGCGTAACAACAAGTGTGCGTTCAGCTGGGTTGTTGTGATAAATATTAGAGATGATCTGCACAGCAACATCTGTCTTTCCTGTACCAGGTGGACCTACCACCATTGTGAGGCCAGGCTGCATACCAGACCTAATGGCCTCAACCTGAGTAGGAGTGAATTGCACACGATTCTTACGGGGGACAGTGTATGGGTACGGACCACGACTTGGTATAACATATGGTTCCACACTGATAATCTTAGAAACTTTAGTATCTTCACCTTCAACTACCCGCTTAGTTGACTTCTGGTCTTCAAAAGCTAACTTGAATGGTGGGTCTCTACTTGCTTTTGGATTATGATTTATGGTATAACTTGGAAAACTCTTCCTCAAATGTTCAAATTCAAGGAAGGTGTCATTGAAATCCAGAGTGGCCAGAGCATTTTCTCTCTGTGAGTAATGGGCAGCACCAGGATCGCCATAGCCTAAAATAATGTCCAAGAGCCAATCTGGCACAACGCACTTCGTATTCATCAAGTCACGGATGGTCTCTAGGACAGCTTTGAAGTTGTTTTCCTTCGGTTTCCTTCTCATAAGAACATTGAAAGTTTCATACACATCTTCACTGTTGTTGCCAGTTTTGATGTTGTCCATGTCAATTTTGTACTGGTTGCAGTCAAGCCACACACGGAAGGTCCTCGTATCTCCCTTAAGCTCTGGCTTTGGCTCCGGTCCTTCTTCTATAACACGGCCATTTTCATCCAACATGCCTTCCACTTCGCAGCCTCTGACGTACCTAACACCCCACTCCTCTGGAAAGCTTCCCTCTGGGTTTGGGTACAATTTTGGAAGCCTTACAGAAAGCAGGAGGCAAACATCATGCTTTCTAAGGGCTTCCCATTCATTCTTTATTTCTCTCCTGACATTCAAGTTGACTGTAATGTCTGCCCTGACTCTTGATGGTTTATCTTCACCTACATTTGGCTTGGCTACTTCACAGACTGCAAAATTCTGAATTGGCTGTGCCATGCGAGCCCATCCACGGAACAAAGTAGATCCATCTTCAGCTGCCCATGGGTTGAGCCTCATCAGTACATCTTCAATATCCTGGCGAATCTCATAAGTTGACTCTAATCTGAACAAATCAAAGTTTCTGAGTAAATAGTCATGCAGAGTGAGAAACTGGAGATTCAGTTTTGGCAATGCTAGGCAAGCATCACCAGAGAAGTACTCGGAGGGAACTATGTTGTCATCCCAAATAATCTGCTCTGTTGGATACAGAGGCATTCTATTAATAGATTCAAGTTGTGATATCCGACGCTGGTACTTCCACAAGATTATTTCAACCAGGAACTTCCTGTCACTCTCATTGCTATCAGCTTCTGGGAGTAAATGCAACAAATGGCACAGTCTCTGCAAATCTGCATCTTCCAACTGTTCTACATGCTGTCTGAGTGTGGCAGTATCATCTACTGAGGCAATACTGGAAAAGCTAAACTGTGTCAGGTCTTCAAAGTTCTTGAAAGCAATGCTCTGCAGAACTTTCACTTGATCATAATGGATTTTCATCACATCTAAATCTGAGAGTGGTTGGCCAGTATTGTCATTGATCTCAAACTGTGCATATACTTTCAGAATGTAGAGCAGCTGTGCAAATAGCTTGCCCTCCTCTCTGGCAGCAAGTGTTGACAACTGACATCTGACTATAAGGTTACAAGAATGCAGCAGTGTGTTGAAGAACCTCCTCGTTGGCAGCTGAGATTCCAAATCAATCATGAGTTCAAGAAATCGCTCACAGTAATGGACAACATCCTGTGCTACACCTACATTCTCATCGGCTGGAATGGTGGATAACTTCTGCATGAACTGTTGCATCAAACTGTAGAGAAACTTTGTATCGAAGTTGAAATTCTCCAGTTCATCTTCTTTGATCTTCTTCCTGTGTCTTGCTGTCCTTTTCAAAGCCTTGGCCCAGTTAGGAAATTCCTTTAGCACTGTCTGTAGCTGACCTTCTGAAAGGCATTCCAAAATGTTATACGAAACAGTGTGGCTGATTCCATTTCTTATAAGATCGGTTTCAATACTATTATAGAGATGATTCAAGAACACGATCATGTGAGTCTGCTCCTTCTGTGTGAATTTCCTGGTGGTATCCAAACAGGCTTTCATCAAATGCCTCAGGAAATTGGGGAAAGGTCCAGGGTGCTTGACAAAAGAGTCCCATGCAGGAACACGTTCTCGGAACTTCTCATTGACCAGGACAACCACAGACATGAGGTGAGCAGGTGAGGCATTTTCTGAGTAGTTTGGCCACACATAGTTCTCCAGGTACTGGCTCAACTCCAGAACAACAATTCGTCTTGTTTCAAAGTCTGTTGCTTTTACTTCACTCTGGTAGACATCCTGAATCACTTGTGGATCGTATGGTAGGTGTGAATCCTTGGTATCTGGTGACCAGTACTGCTGCGCAAGGAAAGTCACGCGATCAGCACTGATCTGGTCGACTGTTAGTCCCTTCATTTTCCTTGATCTTTGGTTCAGCTTCTTGTCATCATAAACATTCCTCACAATTGGTCCTTTCTGAAAAGACAGAGAGAATATAAGTACTATGGCCTAATTAATGCAGTGACGAATACTAATAAAATCCTTTCTCTGGAGGGAACAAGTAACTCTTGGGATTTCTTAATCTTGAGAACCCTTAAACTCATCCATCTTTTAAAAACAGTCATTCAATTTTCCATTGGATGTTGCTTTCACAGACCACAATACTTGTAGATCTAGAAGATATGGTGATCCCTAGAAAAAATACAATAATACAAATTGGATTAAGAAAGCAAGATTAAGTAAGCAAGATAACACTAGAACTAACAATACAAACATCTTGTGATGTGGTCATTCATCTTGAAAATTACCAGCAACAAAACAGCCTGGTAATCTACAAACTCTATTTCACCAGAACACATGCAATGGAGGTTTGTGTTCTTTGTAGATGTGTAGTAGGCACTAAGGCCATTGGCAAATGCAGAGAGGGTTCTTTTGTAAATACTTTTATATCATTTACCACTTTTCTGAACCCCTAGGCAAGGAGAGGGATTTAGCTCTATGAAGCCTGGAGTTTTGAGATTACAAATAAAATAATCCTTGAATAGATTTGTAAGATTAACTTTGCGATACTACTAAAATTTAAGAGTACAGTCTAATGGAACTAAACCTTCTAAGACACTTTACTTTGCAAATGAATTAATGAATGCATAATAACAATAATAACAATGATGGATGATGAATGATGGTGATGGTGATGATGATGAAAAAATAACTTCATCTTCTCTTCCATTTTTATCAAAAATAAATAATAAAAAATACTGGAGACCTTATTCTCTGAGCACCTTGAACTGACATAGCATGATGCACAGGAGTGGCAACAGACACTCATTGCAAGCCAATTAGAAAATTATATGAGAACAAATCTTTTGTCTGGTCTTATATACTTATCAAATTTGTAACCAACCACCACTAGATAATAATTACTAGCTCTATGAAGTCATGGAGTACCACCAACATAAGTACAAGTAACATTTCTGGACAAATTAGATCATAAATGAGTCAGTGCCCTTTAAGGCTCTATATTATCATATTATATGAGACAAAGATTTTGTAGACAAAACAGAGTTAGGCTTCTTAAATATTCACTGCAGGGGTAATAACATGCATAATGTATCTATGTTGGTAATACTTTAAGTTAATCTTTCTGGTA